TTTCTATGGTATGAACCGGCGTCGGAGACCTCTGATAGAGACCACAAGAGCGGATATAGCAGTTGGGCAGGCGGCACAACAGAAACCTCTCAAAGAACTCGACATTAGACGGTCACTGATATTTCTGGTACGAGGACCTTGCGATTGGCAACGCACAATAATAAAATTGGTTACCAGGTTGGATTACCTTACTTCAGAGCAAAAGCCCAAGATTACTACGAGTCATTGGGGGGTGGTCTATCTTCCGAGATTACAGGCGAACAAAGAGGCGCACGAACCACCAACCTAGTATGCATTTCACTGGTCTCTCTCAGTGTCATTCTAACGTACGCTTCCAATAGACGCGGAAACAAAGGTTGCAAGAGTTGTACAAGAAAATATATCCCATTGCCAACATAGCTTACGAGTTGTGGATTGCGGGGTATAATATCGCCTATTTATTCGACAAAACACCTTACTATCGGCCTTGGTTGGTTGTATAATGGTCTAGATGAAGTAGAAATGATGTTTTGTATAAAGTGTTACCACTGGGTGTGATCCGGCTATGGACCTGCCGAATGGATCATACTGGGGCCCTTCCGAGACATGCAACAAGTCAAACACACATGAGAATGAAATTAAATATATGACCATATCATACTTCAATCCGGTAGTCGAAGTACCAGTGGGGAACGCGCACCGTTGTCCGAATTTAGATGATGGGAGCCATTACTTTAAACTTGCAAAATACTGTGAGCTCATTGGCAAAGATTGCTCACGCGAGCTACAAGCATATGAGTGACGAGCCGTCACCCTCTTTATTCTAAATGACTGCATAATCCTTCTCATATCATCACAAATACATGTATTCCGTAGGAATTTATATATCCTTTAATGAATATGAAACTGTTATCCAATGAACCGAGAGCTTGAAAATTAATATGGAAACCCAGGATGTTTAATCTTCGCGTGCCGGTGCCCCGGTATGGCTATAGATGCACCATAGGGCATCAAGAGTGACCTCCGCTTGCTCCCATCTGTTGAAGGTGGCAATAGATGTCGTAGGCTACAGCAGCATCATTTGCGGCATCTACAATCGTAGCAGGTTCAGTATAGATTTAGATAAGGAGGTCCTGGTACTGACAATTCAGCTGGTCCGGTGTCAATTTCTTTTCCCAATTTCCTCGGCGGATGCTTTTCGTCTTCAGCAATTGCATGGACAGGTATCGATCAGTCAATTCTGCTAAACCCAAAGCTCGACCCCTTTTGGGTCGCTGATCTTGTTCGTTCTCATCACCATGCCGCCTTTTCTTAGCTTTGCCCGCTTCTGCTCCTGAACTTGTTACATCGGTGGTGGTTGGAGTCGACTCTCCCTTAGCAGCAGCTTCTGCTGCCAATTCCTGCGCTTTGCGAAGACGTTCTGCCTCTCTTTCCTTTGCCCTTATTTCGTCCAGTTCGTCCCAATATGGATCAAGGGCCCTGGCCATTGGAGACAGGTCAATCAAGTTGCTGATGTCAACTCCCCAATCTTTCCTAAGCTTGTCCGCATCACCTAAGTAAAGCGAATGAGCGATCTTGTAAGATATATGGACTATATAACGATCTCTTACCTTCAATTCCCACTCCGATTTTGGCAATGTTGGTAGCCTCGAGAATCTCCTGCAAGCACTGTGGTATGAATCCCAGACCTATCCAAACCGTTAGACATTCAGCCATCGGAAGGGGCTAGACAACCTTTGATCATCTGCACTACGACTACGTCTTCTTCTCCTGATAATTGAATGACTGCGACACGATTAGGCTTATCACCCTTGATAAAAGTTGGCTTCCATTCCATGTCAAAGCCCAAAGATCTGAGTCTATGAGTAATGGGTAGTTAGATCATTTAAAACAACTCACTCAGATTGTTTTAAACGATATAGGACTTGAATACCCTCGGGCGTATTGATATAAGTTAGGCGCCTTTGCGGGAAAATATTGTTATATGAATATTGAGGCAAATGGTTCGTAGCAGGCGCTTTTTTCTGTTTCTAAATGCAGGTTGGAGGCTAAAGAGACGGTGATTCGACGACTTACTGGTGAAGCAGCCTTCGGTGGCTTGCCCTTTGTTTGGGCCCTTGGCTGGGCTGGTTGAGATGAAGCACTGCCAGCGAGGGGAATTCGCATAGAGGAATGACCAGTAAAAGCGATCCGTGGAATTTGATTAGCGTTCATTGTAAGTAGGGAAGTGGTTGTGATCAGGGAGCCTGGCAACATTTTGGGGGGTGTTACCCATAAACAATAGGCGCGGAGAACAGCAGCAAAGACGACGGCTATGCTCATGACACACAGAATCGGATATCATAGTAAAATTTTTTGATGCACTCAAAGGATGAGACGATAGGTACATGAGTAAGGGGCTGGGGGAACGTGAAACAAAAACCCTTGAAAATCAGAAGACAAAGATCATCATACATTCACTTAATTTAAGACTTTTCGGATTTTGAAAGAAGAATCTGCCTATAGGATTCGAACCAAGGGTGGCTTTTGACTCGCTTGGCGGAGATACGACGGGCTTGGTCGTAGGTGAGACATTGCTAACATTCAACGTCAATACAAGTACCAGAGGCAGATCAGATCACTAACTTGTACCACATCAAGACCAACTTCGTCCAGATTTTTAATGATGTTCTCCAGAGGTTGTGGACTCCATTGCGGGAATGTACTTTTATAATCTGGTAGCTCGCTCACACCGGGCCAAATCTCGTCGTTAGGCGTACCCATGATCCTGAAAGGTATTAGTTTCAGGTAAAATAGCTTAAAAATTGCAAATACCTGAAGATTTTGAAAATCTGATCGATTTCGGAATCACCATTGAATAAGGGCATGCCTTTCAAAACCATTTCAGCCAGTATACACCCTACAGACCACATATCAAGCGCCGTAGAGTATTGTCGGGCGCCTAACAAGACTTCGGGCGCTCGGTACCAAAGAGTAACAACCTGCGGTACGAATTAGAAAACACGAAATGCGCCCGACTAATCAGCACATACCTCATGTGTATACGTTCGGAGAGGGATACCAAAGGCCCTAGCTAAACCGAAGTCTGCAATTTTCAAGTTTTGGTCACGATCAATGAGCAGATTTTGTGGTTTGAGGTCCCGATGTATGATTCGATGAGAATGGCAAAATACCAAACCAGAACATAGTTGATAGGTGAATTTCTTTGTTCGTAGACGATCTTTTGTTAAACAGCGATACCCAGTAGCAAGAAAGG